GGTGAGTGGCAAACTTGTAATTAAGCAAACTTGCCCATTCACCCTAATGGCCGGCCTCTCCTTGTTATTGGGCTAATTTGCCCATTTTGTTTTTTGTTGTCATACAACTTAAACATAATGGGCCTTTTGGACCAAAACGCTTTTGGGCCCCGAAACCCAAAACCAACATATAAGCCCAATACGAACCTTTCGTAAAATTAATTAACTAATTAATTAATCTTGACAATTCTTCAATTAAACCATTTAATTGCTTATCCATTTCATATAATTTCTTCACATACATCCTTACTCGGTGTACGATCCATTAGGTTCCAATTAGCGAGGCAGTGGGCGATGTTACTCTTAACTATCGATTGTGAATTGAAACCACATTTCAATTCTCCCTTTAATGATTAGTGTTACCTAATCATTTGGGCTTCCACAAACCATGAGTGACACCTAGCAGTATGTCATGGTTACCCAAGCTAAGTAGAATTGGTTGGAGAACCTATCCAGTTACAACTACAATGCAATACGGTCCTTCTCTAATACAATACTCTTAATCACATTGTTTAAGTGATAGTTTGTTTCATGTCTACTATCCAATGTGATACTTTCCTATATGATTCCCTTGAATATGATTTGGAACAAACTTCCTAAGTCATATATTCATTTGCTTTGGCCAAAGACTTTAGAATCATATCTTAGAGTATTCTCCCTCCACCATGGAAGGTTAGAGATCCCTTGTTGTGCATTCATATGCCTACATGACTAGATAGCTTGACCCCAACAATGCCGTGGACACTCCAAAGGAATGCCGTTGACATGATCAAAGATCAAGGACCTAACCATTAGACATCTATGATGCCTCAGGTCAAAGGACTACTTTGCATATTGCAACCTTAGAATTCATACATGACATGTATGTTCGAACTCTCTTTTGATCGTAGTTCAGTGTACTCGAGTACTCTTTCGAGCACCTATGTGTTTGTCTTAGTGTCCAACACCAAATGACTTGAGACTAGTTATACTCACGATTGAGTCAACATAACACATACTAGCCTTAGCGGATTGTCAATGCCCAATTAGCAATCCTATGGCTAGGAACGTTTTAGGAATGAACATAAGAGAAAGGTCTCGATAATCTAACTCATTAGATCACTTATCTCTTAGAACAAATACATTCCTTGGATTCCCTTATTGCTTAAACACATGATACAATAAATAGTGATTAACAATAAGATTTGCCCTCCATTAAACATATAATAGTTTAACACAATAAGTATTTCAAAAAGCTATTACATCAAATGAGTGGCTTTGTGGGCATACTTCCAACAGGCAGAACCTCAGAAGGATGAGGCACCGAAGGTTGATCATTTAGAGCTTCATTAATCGGTACAGCCCTAGAAGACGAAGGCAATAAATGCCTTTGGAACAAACCCACAAACCTCTGATGATCAAGTAAAATCTGACCATCAGATTCCTGCAGTTAGTCGAGCTTCCTCTTGATGTTTGTAGCATAGTCATGTGCGAGCCTATGCAACTGTTTATTCTCATGCTTGAGCCCTCTGATCTCTTGTTTGAGACTTATCACTTCAGCCGCCAATGATTCAACTTGGCAGGTTCGAGCAAATAGGCGTTGGGCCATATGAGACACAAAACCTGCACACTGAACACTGAGAGCCAGAAAATCCTTAACAGCCAACTCATCAGACCGTTTGGAAAGTAGTCTGTTATCTTTGAGAGTGAGAAGGTTCCTAGCCACCACCATAGCTGTCATATCATTCTTCATCACAGAGTCCCCAATGGTAAGAGGACTAGTAGGGGATAAGAAGGATGGGCGCTATATGTTGTCTTGAAAGGGCATGGCTGCCTCTTCACCAAAGTTCAAGTCAAATGACAGTCGGATGGATGAAGGAGAAATGAGGTGCAATAAATCTTTGAAGTACAAAAATAAGGGGGGAAATTCCTATAAGCAATAACTCTCTAAACGTACTTCTTGCACACAATTGGTGCTCCTATAAAAAAAAAAGGCAACAGGGCCGTTGGTTCAAAAATCGAAGAGGCACCACTCTCTGGATTTCGAGAAGCAGATTTTCTTGAGTAAAATATGTCGACAATCCCCACACGCAACATCAGCTCCTCGGGTACCACAAATAACTTTGTCAAAGATCTCTGACAAAGTTTAGACACATAAATTTTGGAGGTCCAGTTACCTACTATTACCTACAAGGGTAAAGGAACAGCACCATTGTTTGATAACTGGAAAGTCCCTATGTGTGTTAACCTCCGTGCTCTGTGGCAAGGCAGACTGGCAAAAATGCCCAACCTTTACTCACATTCGAAAAATACTCCCAACAAGATTTCTTGCTCAAAAATCGAAGAGTCACAACTCTCCGAATCTCGAGAGCCAGACTCCCAACATAATTACTTGATAAAAAATCGAAGAGGCACCGCCCTCCGAATCTCGAAAGTCAGACTCCCAACAGGATTACTTGCTCAAAAATCTAAGAGACACCGCTCTCCGAATCTCAAGAGCCAGACTCATAACATGATTGTTTTCTCAAAAATCGAAGAGGCACCGTTCTCCGAAACCGAAGAGGCACCACTCTCCGAACTTCGAGAGCTAGATTTCCTTGGATAAAGCTTGTCTGCAATCTTCACACGTAACATCAGCTTTCCAAATACCACAGACCACTTTTTCAAAATGCTCTGACAAAGTTAAAATACATGAATCTTGCAGCTCCCACTACATTGCTATGACTGAGAAGTGTAAAGGAACAACGTTACCATTCGCTATTGGGACAATTCCTATATATGTCGACCTTCATCCTCCACAACCAAGCAGACCTGCAAATAAAAAAAATGCTCAACTTTTCTTCACATTCGAGAGGGCACTCTCAGCAGAGTTTCTTGAAATACTCAGCTTCTTTTCCCCCCAATAATACCTTTGCAAACAAGCCACACCAGAGCAAAAGTATCTCATATCATCAGGGTTAAAAGTAAGAGTATCCCATATCATGTTTTTCCCTGTATTTTCCTTTAGCCTTGTTCTTACCTGCAAGACAAGGAGAAAGAGAGCAATCAGTTAGCATTTTGAAGCAAGCTTCCAGTCAGGAATTGACTGCCTGGAACCCCTTGCCTGATTACTTACCTAGCATTGCTCTCGAGTACTCATCTTCAACATCTTATGCTTCCAGAAAAGATACCGCATTTGCCTGAGGAACAGATAGGGCAAGTGAGAAGGATACAAGGAAGCATGTGGAGACAAGCGTAACAGAACACGTGCCGATACATCCACTACTTTGTCAACAGCAAAAGTATCCCATATCATCAGGGTCGAACGTACTCTAAATTTAATTGACTTGTTTTGACTTTCAAATTCTTGAGTCTGCCTTATACTCTGGAGGAAACTAGAAAACCCTCCAGTCCAGTTCAAGAATAAGCCTGTGGAAAGTTACTTCTTCAAAAGCAAAAATATCTTATATCATCTCTTCTCCATTTGCTTCTCCTTATCCTTGTTGCTGTTTACAACACAAAGAGAAATAGAACAATCAACCGAAAGCCGAAGTCGAACCTCTGATCCAGGTTACTTGCTTGGAAGTCTGATTGCTTACTATGTCTGTTACCTCATTCAGCAAATCTCCTAGCTCGGCGACTTGGGGGACTCCTACTATAGGGTTTGTATCGCACTTGACCAAGCCCGAAACTACAAGTAAGCTTCAAGTGAAATTGATACATTACCTTGTGCATCTTCATTGGTTAAAGATACCACTCCTGGATGGAGGAAAAGTACTTTCAGAGAAGATGTCACATCTACATATGAGACAGATAAGGCAAGTGAAAATGATACCACACTTCAGTACTTAGAAGTTTCATAATTACTCAATGGCTTGGATCTTGCAAGTCCCCAACCGAGGAGCTTCCCTCACTCGGGAACTTAGGGGAGCATTGTTTATACCATACTTGACCAACCCCGAAACTACTAAGCACCGATCAACATTATACCGCCAAGGACCCATAAAAGTCTCCCTCCAACCAGGAGGCCAATCACAACACGATACATGTCAACATCAGAGGTAAATCATAACGTGACACGTGTCAACATCAGAGGCCAATCACAGCACGACACGTGTCAATGTCAAAATGAAACTAGAAACCCTCTTCTATAAATAAAGATCATTCTCTCACAATATTTCCTAATGTCATTTGTACTAAATCATTCACTAGTACTCACTAAATGAGAGCTTGAACCTATGTACTTGTGTAAACCCTTCACAATTAATGAGAACTCTTTTACTCCGTGGACGTAGCCAATCTGGGTGAACCACGTACATCTTGTGTTTGCTTCCCTGTCTCTATCCATTTGCATACTTATCCACATTAGTGACCGAAGCAATCTAGCGAATGTCACAAACTTAACACTTTCTGTTGTGCCAAAATCCTCACTGATTTTGTGCATCAACAAAATTCAACAAACTCAAAAGAAATCTTGCCACCTAATTGAAAATTTAAATTATTAACCTTATAAAAAATTATAAACAGAAATGATTTTTGGATACTTATTTGAAAGATGATTTGATAAACACAAAATTTTTTTTTTTTTTAGTCTCGCACACTTTTATTTAATTTTGTTTTTGTCTCTGCTTGATTATTTAATTTAATGACAAAAAAATCAAAAAAATTATGTGACAAGCTAAAAAAATATTTGTGAAAATCACTTATTCTGCACATATATGTTTTTTAATACATCATATATTTTTACATTAAGATGAATGAGTGTTCGGCTAAGTTATACAATGGGTAACCTAATTTGGTATCAAATTCGTTATCCACGAAATTCGAATCTAAGAACTTTCACTTCAAGTGAAGAGGAATACTACTAATACCGAGTGTCTCCGCACATATATGTTTATTTTTGATATTTTAATTAAATAAATAAAAAGAAACTAGTATTTTGGACCAAGTCCAAGCCTTATCCGGAAGTAGTATGGTTTGAGAAAGCACAAGGAGATGCAAAGGCAAGAGGCAATACAGATTCTCTTCTTTCTCCTCCGAAAGTCCTCTCTACCTTAAACAAACATACGAGAATCTTACCAATCAAAATTTCCAATCTTTCTCAACCGTCGGATCATGTACAACCGCCTGTTAATACTTGTTGGGTCCCATTGAAAGGACCCCATGAATACGATTCCAAAGAGCAAGACAAGGAGCTGCCTGCTGCTTCCTTCTCCAACTCTCTTTTTTCATCTCCTGCACTTTCTATTCAAACCCTCCCTCCCCACTTTGTTTTCGCTTTGAGTTCACCCAAAGCGGTTCAGATTCCAAATGGGTGACCTTTTGTTTTTAGCTACTGACTGCTCTTCCTGAATCTATCTTTCGAAAACCAGCCATTTCTGGATAAATCCTGATCTGGGTTCTCTGTGATTCTTCATTTTCCATTAGTTTTCACCATTCTTTTGATTTTTTAAGTTGTGGTTTTTCATTTATTTAGCATTTTAGTGGGGGGTTTTCAGTTTTTTAAAGTGATTGGGGATTCTGTGAGAAGTTGGGAATTTGCAGATGATGGGTTCGGTTATGAACTTGATTACTACTGTGATAGGTTTTGGTATGAGTGCAACATTTATTGTGTTTGTTTGCACAAGAATCATCTTTGGGAGGCTGCGAGGTAGAGAATCGAGGCCTATGTTCGAGATTGAATCAAGGGTTGATCTTGAGCAGGTATGTAATGGATTCCCTCAGCTATATTTGTTTTCTCATCTTAGAATTATCTGATTTGGGTAATTTTCCCAGTTTTGAGCATTTTTTTTCTGTATGAGTTTCTGTTTTCAGTTGGTTATGTATGATTGATTGATTGTTTGGTAACTGGGATCACTACTTCCCAGTTTAGCATCTCAGTAGCTTACTTGGGTGAGCTTTTATGCGTGTATTTATTTTGACAAAGCGGTATTCTATTCTAAACTACTCTAATTTACGAGGACGGGGATTCAAGCTTTTATGCGTTTAAAGATATGATCATGCTTGATGTGTTCTAGTTTTTCATGTCAACTTTGCTGCAGTTGAGAGTCAACTTTGAGATATGGAAGAAATGATAATAAAAACAATAGATGTTGCAATGTACTAGTTTTCTGTTGTATTCAGAAAATGCAGGTACTGGATAAGGAAGGATGCATAAAAGATGACGGGGAAGTTTGGGAATCATTCTTTATTTGTTTTCTTATCAGCATTCATAACTGGGGAGGCTGCTTGCTCAATAACTTTGACATTTGATTGTTCTTTGTTGCACCATATTAAGATGTTCTGAAATTTCATGCTTTGTGTTTCTGATAACCCAAAGACTAGATTTTTCGTTCACGCCCCTTTGTACTTCTGTTCCCTGCTATGGTGGAGATTGATGTCATTCCACTAAAACTTGAGAGTTTTTCACTTTCTCAATAGTAACTTAAATTTTGAGCAATGGGAGAGAAGTGAGGGATAAAGAATGGTGGAGGGAGGTGTTGATATATCCTACATCGGCCTTAGAAAGAAAGAAAGAAAGAAGAGTTTAAATATCCTAACCCCACTCCATCTAATACCGAGGCCTTTTGTGATAAAACCCCACGGATTATGTAGGTGGCAATTACCAATTTGGGGACAATATCAGTATTGTTAGATGTGGGGCCTTCAGCCTCTCTCTGATAATTCTACAGCAGGTTTGTGGGAGGAGGAGGGAGGAATGAAAGAGATCATAAGGAACATAAACTAGAAAAAGAAACCTACTTTACTTTTCCTTCGTGCCCCTTTGCATTTGTGTCAACTGATATTGAGATTGATGTCACTCAATTATAACTTGAGAGATTTTAATATTGTCAATAGTAAATTAAGTTTTAAGCAACGGGTTCTAACTTCTAAGTTTGCATTGTTTTCTGTCAGCCAGAGCATCAGGTTAGTGGCCTTGAACAAATTGTGGTTTCTGCAATCCCTACGATGAAGTACGATCAAGAGGCTTTCAGTTCCTTAGAAGATGCACAGTAAGCTTCACAGTTTCATTTCTCCTGGTGCCTAACAACTCTCATTTGCTTTGCATCTTAAATATTTACTATTAATTGAAATATATCATAAAGTTAGAGGATGTTAGTTTTCCGCGCTTTTTTTGTGAGATTTTCTTGAGCTTTGGTACTCATGCGTTTTGGACACTGGTGAGTAAGTCTAATCCATATTCTTTTGCAGGTGCTCAATCTGTTTGGGGGAGTACCAAGAGAAAGAAGTACTGCGAATCATGCCCAAATGTGGCCACAGTTTTCATCTGTCTTGCATCGATACATGGCTGAGGAAACAGTCTACTTGCCCAGTTTGCCGTTTACCATTAAAAGAATCCCTTGGAACAAAACATGTGAGGTCAGCAACGTTTAGCGTGGCTCGATCTTTTGATGAGTCTGAGATTTCAACCGAACATTCTCAGCAGTGGCTATTGCCTGGCGCCACTGAGCATTCGGTAGGCAACATTAGCAACCAAGGGCATTTAGATTCTGCTCCAGGAAACCCTTCCGAACCGACCCCATCTAGAGAACCAGAAACAAGGCAATGATAAAATCAAAGAGATTGGTCCAAGGAACCAGACATGCATTTGCTTCCAGCAAGCCTGCAATAGGTGACTTCCCTTTTCTTTTTCCTTCCCCTTCAGCGGGGAGTTGTTTCACATGGTAGGCCGGGTAGGTTTGATCGGAGAATTCTTATACCTTGCATAGAATGCTACCATCTGTTGTTGATGGTACAAACGGAAATTGTGTGACAGAACTCTGAATTTTTTAGTAGAAAGTTTGAAGCTTACAAATATAATTTGATTGTTGTATGTAAGTTATATTCACTATCACTGCATCTTTTCAACTTTGATGAGTTGTATTTGCTTCAGCATACCAAGTTTCTGAATTTGGCAATTCTTCTGATAACTCATCTGGCTGTTTGACCGTGTATTAAGTAAATGCATATACCGTAGCTATGTCCATCAGTTAGAGGTTTGTTTCTGCTAAAGGGAGAATTGGGTTTTGTTGCAGGATCTTCTGTGTAGCGAGAAAAAAAAAAAAAAAAACTACAGATGGTTTGCTTAAAAGTACATTTCTCATATGATATAATAGACAGAATTGTAAAGCCGACATGATAGACAAGGGAGGGGAAGGGAGGGGGGTTCCGGTTTCCAATTTGGGATCCTCCTTACATGACTGAGTGAAATCGTTTCACCGTACATGCGTTATAATTCAAACGATGTATTCTCTTTGTTATTTAAAGATCATCTTTAGAAAATTCATTCGGCTTGAAAACTGTATCCATATGAATCAAAAAAGTTAGATAATGATATTACTTGTTACCATAATCATCAATTTGTTCAACGCATATAGACAGCTAAAAGATCTTCATAGTAAATGAATTTCTAGGGATAATCTTTGGATGACAGATAATAAATGGTGGGGTTAACACATTTGTATGATAGATTAATACTACATCATCATATAAGGAGGAACAACTCTTTACATATAAAGTATCAAGTGTTGGTTTAAATAATCAGTTCTCGCCAAAGCAAAATCTAAATCTAGTCTTCAACATGAACTAATTAAACTAAATTTAATAAAAATAATGTATCTGAATTCAATTTTCATGCACCACACAAACTGAATACTAAAAATATTAAAGAGCAACACAATGCGCCCTCAGGATCACCTTAGAGCATTACAAAGTCAAATTGAGAGATATGACTAAATTGTAGCAATAGTTCCTCAACTCATTAAAACGTATAGATATAGTCATTTTTGTCAACTTCGTCAAAATTATGTCAAAATGAATTACGTTTGAAGGACCATTGCTACAATTGGGTTTTGGGTTAAAGTTGAAGGATCATTGCTCCAATTGAGTTAAAGTTGAGCAAACATTTCTCTAGTTGAATTAAAGTTGAGAGACCATTGATACAATTTTTCTTATTTGATTTTCCATATTTTCCCATTGATTTAGCTTCACATACATTACACCTGACTCATTTTGACAGAAGTTCTAACAGAGTTGGCTAAAAGAATCATAGCTACACGTTTTAATAAGTTGAGTGACCAATGATAATGGATTTTTAGTTGATGGACCATTGCTCAAACTAAGTTAAAGTTGAATGATCATTGTTACAATTTCCTTGAGGGAGAGAGAAATATCATGTACTAATGTGGAGACTAGATCCCCGGTTGTACCAAGAATCCCTTCAAATTGGCATGGCATCAAAGAATACACGTGGAGCACATACGCCTGAAAGCCTTACAAAATTCCATGAAACGCACGGTCACCAAATCGACCACAAAACTCAGGAAACCGATAGAAGCTAGAGACCACATGGACAAAAATTCCCACCGAACCAACCATTAAATCACATCAAAATTTTACACCGAAGGTCGATAATGGTGGCACATGTGGGACTCATATCGCTCTTTTCTCCTTGCTTTCCTTCTCCGACTCGTCTTCCTCGTCTCCCCTCCTCCAAGCACAGACCTTTTACTACCAGTAAGTATGGCATAAGCTGTCAACAAAATCAAAATCCCAGGTTTTATTTTAGCTTAATTTTATATTTACATGGCTGATTCGAGCTCTAATGGGGTAATTATTTGAGAATTGTAGAATTACCCATTACTTATTGAACTTATTTGATGCATTTGCGAGCGAAATGAGTGTTACTTCTTTGGTTAAAGAAAATTATGGTAATTACCCATCTTCTTTTTAAGGTTTATCGGATATTTTGGCTAAAAGATTTGGTTTTTGCACTTTATTTTCTGTGAAAGCGTTGAACTGTAGTTTTTTTTTTTTTTCCGGTTTCTTTCTTCTGGAGTTCAAAGAGAAAGTAATCACCCAGTGTGTGTGTGATAAAGAGGGGGAAGCTAACCAAATGTGGGATTCCATGGCTAGTTGTATCCGAAAAGTATCAAAAGAGGTATTAGGAGAGTCCAAGGGCTTTGCCCCACACCAAAAGGAATCTTGGTGGTGGAATGAGGAGGTACAAGCAAAGGTGAAGGCTAAGAAGGAATGTGGTAAAGCCTTATACAAGGATAGGACCGATGAAAATGGTGAAAGGTATAGAAAAGCGAAGCAAGAGGCGAAGAAAGCTGTGAGAGAAGCTAAGTTAGCGGCTTATGACGATATGTATAAGCGACTAGATACCAAAGAAGGAGAGTTGGATATCTATAAACTAGCTAGAGCAAGGGAAAAGAAGACAAAGGACTTAAACCAAGTGAGGTGCATCAAGGATGAGGATGGAAAGGTTCTTGCTACAGAGAATGCGGTTAAAGACAGATGGAAAGGTTATTTTCATAATCTTTTCAATGAAGGACATGAAAGGAGTGCTTCTTTAGGGGAGTTGAGTAACTCAGAAGAGTGTAGAAACTACTCTTTTTATCGTAGAATCCGGAAGGAAGAAGTGGGTGTAGCTTTGAAGAAGATGAAGCATAGAAAAGCAGTAGGCCCAGACGATATACCAATCGAAGTGTGGAAAGTTTTGGGAGAGACAAGTATAACATGGCTCACTGACCTTTTCAATAGGATTTTGAAAACGAAGAAGATGCCGAATGAGTGGCGAATGAGCACTTTGGTGCCTATCTACAAGAATAAGGGCGATGTACAAAATTGCATGAACTATAGGGGAATTAAGCTAATGAGTCATACAATGAAGCTCTGGGAGAGAGTCATTGAGCATAGATTGAGGCAAGAGACACGGGTTTCGGACAACCAATTCGGGTTCATGCCAGGGCGCTCAACCATGGAGGCAATCTATCTCTTACGAAAATTGATGGAAAGATATAGAGATGGGAAAAAGGATTTACACATGGTCTTTATAGATTTGGAAAAAGCGTATGATAGGGTCCCAAGAGACATTCTTTGGAGGATTTTAGAGAAGAAAGGAGTACGAGTAGCATATATCCAAGCTATACAGGATATGTATGAAGGAGCAAAGACTGCCGTAAGAACTCATGAAGGACAAACCGAAAGCTTTCCCATAACTGTAGGATTACATCAAGGCTCATCCTTAAGTCCTTACCTTTTTGCGTTGGTAATGGATGAGTTAACAGGACATATTCAAGGTGATATTCCTTAGTGTATGCTTTTCGCAGACGATATAGTGTTGATAGATGAAACTCAGGAAGGGGTAAATGCAAAGCTTAACCTTTGGAGAGAAGTGTTGGAATCTAAAGGTCTTCGCCTAAGCCGATCAAAGACAGAATATATGGAGTGCAAGTTCAGTGCAAATGGAGGCCAAAACGAGTTAGGGGTGAGGATCGGAGATCAAGAAATACCAAAGAGCGACCGTTTTCGTTACCTAGGATCTATCTTGCAAAAGAACGGAGAATTAGATGGAGATCTCAACCATAGAATACAAGCTGGATGGATGAAGTGGAAGAGTGCATCCGGCGTATTGTGTGACCGCCGTATGCCACTGAAGCTCAAGGGAAAATTTTATAGGACGGCAATAAGGCCGGCGATGCTGTATGGCACAGAATGTTGGGCGGTGAAGCATCAACACGTACACAAAATGGGTGTAGCGGAGATGAGGATGCTTCGTTGGATGTGTGGGCACACGAGAAAGGATAAGATTAGGAATGAGGATATCCGGGGTAAAGTAGGAGTAGCCGAAATTGAAGGAAAGATGAGAGAAAATCGGTTACGGTGGTTTGGACATGTGCAAAGAAGGCCTACTGACGCTCCGATTAGAAGATGCGACTATGGGACAGAGGTTCAGGGCCGAAGGGGCAGAGGAAGACCTAGGAAAACTTTGGAAGAGACCCTAAGAAAAGACTTAGAGTACTTGGATCTAACGGAGGACATGACACAGGACAGAACACAATGACGTTCTAAGATTCATATAGCCGATCCCACTCAGTGACTTGGATTTTCCAAGTCTCCAACCGAGAAGTTTTCCTCACTCGGGAAATTAAGGGAACACTACCTCAACCTATATGCTCCACTCACAAAGCTTTAACATACAAGCTTCAACAAAAGAAAATTCAAAGAACTTAGCGAAGAAGGCTTTGGTGTATTTAACACAATACGTTGAAATGAAGGAAAGCTTATTTATTGATATCCCCGATAAGTTACAAATATGTACATATACTTGAGTCAAAATAAACAAACAAGAGGGAGTCTTCACAAAGGTTGCTTAGGAGAAGTCTCAGCAGTCGGTAGAGCTCCAGAAAGAGAAGGCACCGGAGGGGGATCATTCGGAGCCTCAGTACTGGACAAAACCCTAGAAGGAGGAGGCATCAGAGATTGATCATTTGGAGCTTCATTACGCGGTACAGCCCCAGAAGACGAAGGCAATAAATGCCTTTGGAACAAACCCACAAATCTCTGATGATCAAGTAAAACCTGACCATCAGATTCCTTCATCTGGTCAAGCTTCCTCTTCATGTTTGTAGCATAGTCATGTGCGAGCCGGTGCAACTGTTTATTCTCATGCTTGAGCCCTCTAATCTCCTGTTTGAGACTCATCACTTCAGCCGCCAATGATTCAACTTGGCGGGTTCGAGCAAATAGGCGTTGGGCCATATTAGACACAGAACCTGCACACTGAAACACTGAGAGCCAGAGAATCCTTAACAGACCAACTCATCAGACCGTTTGGAAAGTAGTCTGTTATCTTTGGGAGTGAGAAGGTTCCTGGCCACTACCGCAGCGGTCATATCATTCTTCATCACGGAATCCCCAACGGTAAGAGGACCAGTAGGGGAGACGAAGGATGGGCGCCATATGTTGTCTGGAGAAGGCGGGGCTGCCTCTTCAACAAGGTTCAAGTCAAAACGACGGTCGGAGGGGCCAGACATTTTCAAAGGTGTTGAAGAGAGAAGAGGTCGGACAAATCAAGATCTTAGAAGTGCAAGAATGGAGCTTCTACTGGTGGATATTCAAGTGTGCT